GTGTAGAGCTGGTCCAGTGTTCTACAACAAGGATGAAAACCACAATCCTCTTCCTGAATCTAATATTCGACTATCCGACGGACCCTCCTCTCCAGGACTCCTGAATAGACCTTACCAGGGAGTCTCAGAAGTGTGATCCCCCTATAGTTGGAACACACTCTGCGGTCCCCCTTTTTAAATAGGGGGACCACCACCCCAGTCTGCCAATCCAGAGGAACAGCCCCCGATGTCCACGCGATRTTGTAGAGTCACGTCAACCAACACAACATCCAGAGCCTTAAGGAACTCCGGGTGAATCTCATCCAYCCCCGGCGCCCTGCCACCGAGGAGCTTTGTGACCACCTCAGTGACCTCAGCACCAGAGATCAGAGGGTCCGACCCAGGGTCCGACCCAGGGTCCTCAGGCTCTGCTTCCTCATGAGAAGATGTGCTGCTGTGTAGCGCGTGGTGGGTGAAAACTTGTCACCAAAAATAAAATACATTTTGTGTCACATAATGTTGTTTTAGGGAGACTTTGGAAGAGGTTTTAGTTTTACAGGTTAGATCCACAGACACTAAGAGACAAAGAAAAATTGAAAATAATAATTAGAGGTAGAAACAAATCAAAAGTCTACAAGTCTTGTCAGAAAAAAACAGAGCTGATAAAATAAAGAATAGCTCAGACGTGTTTGACTCAGTTTGTGGTTTSACTCTGTTGTTGGAACATTGTGTTTTGTCTTTTATACTCACAGTTCATTTGGAAATAGAAAAGTTGTTCTGACCCAGAACCTTTGGACCCTGATGAGGCTGATGCTGGACTCTGATACAAAGTTAGACCTGCTGGTCTGCAGAGACCACTCCTGAGCACTCTTAATGAAGCAGCTGGAACATGTTCTCAAAGTAAACTACTGAATATCCACACAAAACCCAAATAAACTTACAGAGATAATTAGAAATATTCAGGTTACAGAAGCTCTGATATTAAGTCAAAACTCAGAGTAGAAACACCTTTCACTTGTTTTCTGTTTCAAACTAGCATTAAACAGGTTAGCACATCASTGTTCACTTTACTCATTTTTCAGGGGGTTAAATGAAAATAGAAACAAGATTAATAACAGTGACAGCGTACAAAATTAGGTATTATTCATACAATGTAATCATGTTAACAGTGTCCTAACAGCCTTTCGGTTGTTAAGTCTCTAAGTCCTTCAGAAACACAGAAAAAATGGGTCTTTTACCTGAGAATTTACATTTATATATGTAATACTTTGC